CCCCAAAACCCCAAAACCCCAAAACCCCAAAACCCCAAAACCCCAAAACCCCAACTTTTAATGTTTTAGTTGAGATTACTTTAAAAACTCTATTAGGAGAAGTTTATCAATAAAAATGGCTTAATTCTAAAATTTTAAGAGCTAGACCTAATTGATGTTAATACTTGCTTCACTTTGGAAATGAAGGAGGCTGAAGGGACCATATCCACCTCTAGTATGGCTTCAACATCGCACTCGCTTTGGCTCCTATCCGTCTCTGACTTTAGTGAGACATCTTCACTGTTATCAGAGTTAGAGTCTAGGTCCTCTTCGGGAACGAAGTCGTCGTCATCTTCTTCATCTAAAATTTCTGGTGCGAATTGAAATTCTTCGTCCTCTTGGCTATAGATCTCTTCATTGTACTTTTTAAACCAGGGATGCTTGGTAATATCCGACTTGGAGAGTCTTGACTCAGGGTTCACCATAAGCATTCTTGCTAGTAAATCAACTACCTCTTCTGATACCGTCCTCTCCTTGATCCTGTTTCTGGTGTAGGGGTGGGCCATCCAATAAGCCAGAGGCTCCTTCAGCAGCTTCATAAAGAGAGGGTCATCTGTCTTGATTTCTCTAAACGGTCTGCATCCAAATACAATAATGAATAACATAATTGCGAGTGAATATAAGTCAGCTTGCTCACCATTATACTCAAATCCTAGGGCAATTTCTGGGCTCCAGAAGGATTTAGTACCACAACGGCGTTTGGAAAAAATTCCGTTACCGTCTTCTCCCTTTGAAGGCTGAGATAGGCCAAAATCTCCTATTTTAAAGTCCATTTCTTTGGTAATCAGAATATTATCAGGTTTTATATCGAGGTGTACATAGCCTTTGTCGTGAATATGACTAATCCCATAAAATAGTTTTTGAAAAATATAGCATGCTATAGGTTCTTCAAAATAGTAATCTCCACGAAGGTATCTACCAAGGTCACCGAAATTAGCAAGTGGCATTACCATATAACTCACAGTGTCTGAGACAACGGTCTCATTTTGTTCGTGGAGCACTCCTTTCTTGATAGAGTAATCAATAATGGAGAGGACATTAGGGTGGTCGAAATGGTTCATTAGCTCAATTTCACTCTCGATTTCCTGGGTTTCGTTCATACGGTTAATTTTTATAGCACAGTAACTTCTACTGGAAATGTCTTGGCAAAGGAAAATTCCTCCAAAACCGCCTTCCCCAATTTGTTTAATAAGCATAAACTTTTTGTCTATGTAGATATTTGCATCTGAAGGTGACCCTTCGCTTGCTTCATTCATTTTAAAGTAATATTATATAATTTGCAATTGTGTTATGAAGGATAGGGGTTTTGGGGTTTTGGGGTTTTGGGGTTTTGGGGTTTTGGGGTTTTGGGG